AGCCTGCGCAGTACTACAAGCAAGAGTACGCTGTGTACTGAACATGAAACTGAACCCGATGGCCAGGGAAATGCAGAAATGGTGCATGTATCTGACGATAGCAGTGAAAAGTATCAGGTGTCACAGGAGTCAGCCGAAACTGAACCAGATACAGACTCCGATACCGCCGACAGACCCACATCAGAACATCGTCACATGACACAAGCAGCAAATAGCTGTGGGGGCAGCTGGGCAAAAATAGTGAGTATTTTAACCAGCGCTAGCTCACAGTGTGCAGATGATTCTCAGTGCATGGCAACTCTTCCCAGGCAGATAATTCGCGGTAGTGCCTATAACCCGCCTGTCTTTCCATTATCAAGTTTAGGATGATTTTCCTCTCCCCTGGACCGCGATAGTGCATAGTCATCGGATGTTAGAAGCTTAAGTCCTGCTAGTCATCAAGAGAGCTGGAATGGAACTAGCACGAGGCGAAATAAGGTCATGGGTCCTGAACGAACCATCTTAGACTTGGCAAAGGATCTAATTCTCAATTATACTCTTTTTGTTGACCCACTCCCGAATCCAGTTATATTGACGTCTAGAGTGCAGCACGTTTGGCGTCAGGCGCAGCATTCCATTCCTCCTGCAGAGCGAATGGAGCCATCGGAGGACAGCCTAATCATAGTAAGTAAAGTCAGCTTGACGTGTTGAGATGTCAGGTATGGTACTAATAGTGAAAGATACGCACGAAACTCATTTGCGTATGAGTACAGTTCGTCTACCATGTGAAGAATAACATAGTAAATTTATATGGGCTCACAGAAGACCGCAGGGCTACTGCACGGACGGTGGACCATCTCCTGAAAGATGACAGGTTTATATGTGACCTGAAAGGGTACAAGGTTTGTCTCCTGTGGTTAAGCATCCAGCAGTACTGATCAGGGCAGACCTCCAATGAACTGGACACAGGGTCTACATCTACAATTCCTTGCTCCACAGATCCCAAACGCAATATATGGTAAGTACTTTGCCAGAAAGAAAACGCGAGGTCTCGTAGACCCCAATTTCATCGACATGATCAACTGCATCATGATTTGCTTGACTTGCGCAATAATTTGCCATACCCTCAGGGCGTGGCAAACAGGGATCTACGCCGAGTAGAGGGACTTCAAGCCTGAGCTGATTGCCAGTGAGGACATATAATTCCTGTTGTACGTCGGCCGTGCATCTGGCTAACTTGTCACAAAACAAATAAGACCTGTTTGAACAGCAGAGACAAACTTGGCGTAAATGTCTCATCAGTGTCCAAGAGATGATTGTACAAAGTGCTCATCAAACTATCGAAAAAAAAGATGGAGCAAGACTATGGCATCCAACAGGATCGGCTGGAAGGCTATGATGATGACTGAGATGCCGTGAGTACAGAACTAGAACGCCGGAAATCGAACTCCGCCCAGCGTCAGCCCTATCACCATAGCTAGGAACTCACTGACTCGCCCATGATCCCCAGGTTCGGCTTCCGGCGCAGCAGGGGTTTGTCGCAGGGCACAAATGAAACTGCAGATAGCAGCCAGATGCCCTATGGTGACGGACTAGAGTTTCTCAATTGTAGCTTGACAAGTCAAAAGGATCCCCTTGAAGTCACAGAACGTTCGGCGACAGACAGCCAGAATATTGATTTCAGACACCTTAGCTCTCAGCTCTCGCTCAGTCTGGAGGATTCACAGGATTTGGGGACGCTACAAGGGGGCAATTTTGACGCTAGTGATCTGTTAGGAGATGGCAAGCGGGCGCTGGATGTGGGCACCGGCAGGGAGACTCGTGGCATCGCCTGACTTGGGAGTGACAGATGCAGAAAGAGCATGTTCATAATGAAAGGGTTTGAGCAACTATGGCAAGAAGCCGCGACAGGGGGGGGGAGAAAATCGGTTCTAGTAAACATCACCAGATGTAATAGTCTAGCCGGGATGGCCCTGTAGAGTTCAAGTCAATAAACATTAGTCAAATGTGAGCAGATCTCCATATTGGAGGCGCTGTAGTGGACAGCGTCCAGATTCTATAAGAAGTGTGCGCCCAGGATTCCGAAGGCACCGCAAACCTGACATAGAATTCCGGACTCCAAAACGATCAGGCTTAGGGTAGGCTCATGGTGAAGGCGTCCCGACCAGGCCAGTTTCGCCTGTGCCAAATCTAGATACCTTACCGGGTAAGTCTAAAAGTCCAGATCTGAGCGCCAGGCACAAGATAATCTGGAGGAGAACATAACGCGTCACAACGTCCGGGGTTAAGTCATATCATCTGGACGCAGACGCCCTGGATTGTAGAGTACCAGGAGCGGGGAGATATAGATCGCGAGCTCCTGACGAGATCATGATGGGATCTGAGCGGGAGGGATCCCCCGAGGTGACAAAGGGCAGTCTAGGTCCGTCGGGATGCCAGGCAGAAGAATTGGGGTGACTCAAGACGCTACTGGGACCCAAAGAGGGGCATCTAGACGCAGGGGCAAGATGGTGACAGCTTTCAGGATGAATGGCATGCAGGGGTCAGCGTCCAGATAACATCCGGATACAGTGCGGCAGGGAAGCAGGGGTCCGGACGCCAGGGGCAGTGCCGGTACGTCCTAATTAACGGTTTACGTCCTGTGTGTCCTGTGCGTCTGACGCACAGGACATACAGGACGCAAGTTGAAATTTTTCCTGATGTACCTATATCTAAATATCTTACTGGAAGAGCTATTTTAGTAGCCTATAATATTGATGTTGCCAACATGAATGATGTAGTATTAGATCTACTACCTGGAGATTCCACAATATATTTTAGTACTCATACAGTTACAGAAGAAGCTGCTGAACTCTATTCCAGTCAGTATCTGAACTTACTTATACTGTTAGAAATGCCATACTATCAGTTATTACTAAAGATCAGTACTACTGTTATACTTTTAACAAATCTGAGTCTACTTTATAGTCTTTGTAATTGCACTAGACTTCAGATTATATACTTAGAAAGAAATTTCAGTTGAGGAGTTATTCTTACTGACACAAGCAGTAAGCAAAAGGTCTATATGTCACCCATTCTAATTACAAGCAATCTAGACAGTTATTTTAGCTTTTGACTTAATAGGAGGCAGTATGTAGTTTGCTTGGCATTTGTAATAACAATCAAAAAAGTCAAGAGCCACTTATTAGATACAGTTGGAATTTACTTGAAAAATAATGTCTTTACTCATGGATAGTTGTATGTAATAGTATCTCAAGTATCTAACTCTCAAAATGTCAAGATATTAACAAGAAATAATACACTAGTTGGTATTATAAAAAATATTGTATTGACAGAGGTCTTATAGTTCAATTAAGTAGTAGGCATTGTTATCTTTTGGGCTAAGCTATTATGATAATAAGTACTAGGAAAATTATCATAATTGATGATAAATACTTAGAGAGGTAATATTAATTTTGCTGCATTTAGAATCTAGGAATTAGTATGGTTACCCATAGGTAAATACTTGTAAATTAAATAACAAAATTTAATAGTAGAAAACCTATGGTAGATAACATAGGAATTACTTTTTAGTAATTGGCAAAGATTTAACATAAAGAAGTGCAGACTTAATAAATTGTATATTAGCAAAGTCAAATACTTGCGTCCTGTATATCCTGTATGTCTGATGCATAGGATGTATAGGACATAAATCCTTACTCAGGATACGGCACCCTAGCACCCTGGCATCCGAGTCCCAACTCCGTGCTTTCCTGCTTCTGATGTCCTGATCCTTTCTGGACCTAGATTTTAGACCCTCCTACCACCAGACCGCCTATCGTGCCTCCTACTTCCATACTGCCTATGGCACCTCCTACTTCTGGACTGCCTATGGTACCCCCTACTTCTTGACCACCTATGGCGCCGAGTCCTTTCTCCTCTACCCTACTTTCACTAGACTTGCTTAGTATTTGTACAGTCAGCTTTTCTCTAAGAGGGAATAGCAACTTAGTCAGTCTGTTTGATGGTACTCTGTACTATGGGAAGTCATTTCCTGCCTGTTCTTACAGCATGGTACTGGTATGCCATCCACAAAGTCATACTTTCTCTCTGAAAACATGGAACTATATGAGACAAGTAGTAATATACCTACTGGGTAGTTGAAAAACAAGTAGCTCCTGTGACCATAGGGTGCAGCTAGCAGCTGTATCATTATGCCTGCCTTACCTGGACTTATTCTTCCTCCTCCCCCTCTTCCTAGCAGGTCCGCTGGCACCCTACTACCCAGGTCCTTGGGATCCTCCTCCACACTATAGGGTAGCTCTTCTATCTGCCTCCTCCCAGCCAGCTTTGGCTGGCTACTACTCACTTCCAGCTCTAATGTCTTTGTGGATATCATCCCTTCTTCTCTGCTGGTATCCTCTCTGCTGGGCTGTAATTCCCTCTGTTAGGTAGCCATAGCTACTCCTTCCTCTGGCTCTGACTTTCTTCATCACAGCTTTGGCCCTCTGGGAGTTACTCACATCTTAGCTGTTATCTTACTACTTGGTGACCTGGTCCCCTCCTCCTTCTTAGGGTTGCTGGCATCTCTTGCCTGCCTTCACCCCCACATCACCTGTGGTCCACTCCCAGCTGCACAGCTGGTGGGGCTGCCCTGGTATTACACTGTCTTCTCAGTAGAGTTAGCTGGTCTAGTTACAGCATATTACTAAGGACCTAACCATGGGTTTGACAGATGGATACAATCATCCGCTGACACATGTAGGAGTATTTTGGGGGTTTTCTATTCTACTCTTTCCTTTGTCACAGATGATACTAAAGCTTTTTCTTTTTTCTCCTTCCTTCCCTGTGGAGGATGATCATTCCTGTATGGGGAGGGATGTGTGGTTAGGTCCATACAAGAGGGTCTTGGGGGAGTTGTTTTGCTCCCTGGGGCGCAAAGAACATGTCTCCTCTTTTGGACTGGAATTAAGGCTTTTTGTATGCTATAGCGCAAGCTGCATGTATGTTTTTGAACCATAATCAATAAAGGTATGATGAAACCCCCCCCAAACTCCTACATTACAGAGGACATGACATTTAAGATCTACAGCCACACAACACATTTCTTTGGTTCGGCGCGCATTTTGGATGGCACGCAACATATTACTTTGATCCTTCACCAATTGTGATTATTGAATATCACTCGAGGTTGGTTACTTGTTTTACTCCATATATACGTAGCTTGCGTTCTTTGAAAGTGCGCCTCCCTTATAACCACCACCGGGTACAGTATCTCCCAATGAGCCTCAAGTCTCAATACGGGCCACCGCCAATCCGGTCGCAATCATCACACTAAACCACCATACTCTCACGAAAAAAGGACTGATTTGTCCTTCGATATACAATTTCAGGCAACTAAAATAATAATAATGGTGCCGGTATGGATTCGCAATCCGCACCGATGTGAAGAAAGGGAAAAAAACACCCCTGTTCGCCATAAAGTCACAAAAACCACCCCCGCCCCGCCGATATAAGCACCTGGTCAACTAGTTTCGTGAGGAAACTGTTAACAATGCCTGTTCATCCGGGCTCTCCGAACCTGAACTAGCGATCAACGCAATTATGCCACGGAGTCCGATGGTAACTCGCTCCCCGCCACGCTATCCCAAAGCCTAATCCTCCTCAGGAAAGAATCCTCGGGCACGCACAATCCCATCCTATGGAAATAATCTCTATGCGCCCGGAATAGCTGCAGAGCGTTCGGGCTGTCACCAGCAATGCAGTTCATATCTTCACTCCCTTCGCACAAATGAATATCTTCCCGGGCGTAGGGGAGTTGGGGTGAGGAAATGTAGTACTCATAGGCATGTTGGGAGTAATTCCATTGAGTCAGTGGGATGAGAGGGACCGGATCGTGGATGTGTGTGACCCGACGGTAAGTGTCGGCGGTAAATTTCTGCCGAATATTAGTTTGCCGGCTTCCGTTGAGCCCCAAACCATCAGAACCAACCTTGGTGAAGAAACGAGCTAGCGCGCTATTGCCCACTTTGGGCTCTCCAAAGGTTGTAACTATCGGGTCATATCCCCTACCCCTAAAATCCAACCCGGCGAGCGCAGCAACAGCTCCCCCAAGTGAGTGTCCGGCCAGGGTGAGCTTATAACCTGGATACTCCCTGACAAGCTCATCCACGATATCCCCGATGATAGCCTCGCTCTGGGTCCAGCTCTCATAAAAACCTGAATGTACACGGCATCCCTCACACTTTTCCGGTCGGCCTCTGGACGGATATGGGACATATTCCTGCTTCGTCAAGGATAGGTCGGCAATAGCATTGGCGACTGAGTACGTTCCACGAAATGCGACGATGATGCGGGGAAGGGCAGGGGCATGCGAGAGCGCTACGTATCCGCAAGAGTCTTGAAGAGTTATACCAGTATTCCAAGTCTACCCAGACATGTCAGCGGCACGCAATAGCAAAGGACCAGCTCCCGCGACAGACCTGTCTAAGCTCAAACGTTGGAAAATCCCTGCAGTAAGAAAGGCATTGAAATGGCCGTTCGACACCGGTGTTCAGTGAGCCGACACAGTAAGTGATGTCCACGATTCTGGACAACTCCTCGAACTCACCAAATAGGCCCTGAGATATTGGAGTGGTTGACGAGTTGCGGCGGCTAGTGAGGTGTGTTTGTTCCCGCACTGAAAATGGAAGGGGGTTCGCGAGCACGGCTAGCAGGACGGCGGAGACAGGAGATATTTTGAAAAAGACATTTCGGAGCATGCTTGATGGACAGAGGGGTCGCCAAAGGCTGATAAGGGGTAGGAGAGTGGGAGGTGCATGAGTTGGAGGCGGCCACGCAGGGGGAGGTTGGTGGATGTCGCCGGAGGATCGGTACAAGTAAAGTTTGGCAGTCGATAACTCGTGATCATTAGAGGGTTTGCGCTTGGGGACCTAGAACTAGGTGCCGGTTAGCAGAAAATAGACCTAGGTGTAAGAACAAGTTTGCGCAACATGTGTAAGTTTCTTGGTGGCCGGGTAACAGTAGAATCAGCACATCATGTATGGTTCCGGAAGACAAGCCCCTGTAAGTTACTAGGTTTCGGACACAAACTGTGACAATTTTGGAAGTGACGCTGGTTATAACACCTCCCTAATTTGTTACCCTATCTTGTGACAACATAGAAAAGACTAAATCAGATCCAAGGATGAGTGATAGGAGATGATTGTACATATAGAATTGTAATAGCATGATAATATGACATGATATTATATAATTTGATTTGTCTCTAGTTAAAATATATAGCATCTACAAGTATCTTTTCTAAGAGTACTTCTGTTTCCAATATCTCTATTGTTACACATATGATGCACAGACCTTCCCAGCGCACAGATCTCCTGAAAACTGCGACAATTCCACAGCCAACACCCTACTCTGACCCCACCATGGGACCCATGTATTATAATCATGTCATAAGACTTTTATATCCTGTCACTATAAATTGGTTAAAACAAAGCAAGCTTCATAATACCGTGGATGTCGTTGCTGACTATCCCACTGAAAGCTGTTAGCGGGATATATAAGAAGGAACCTCAGGCTATGTCTGAAAAGTAGAATAGAGTCAATTAGAAGGGTAAGTACAGAGCTATAGGTTAAGCAAGGTTGACCACCTCAGAGATAGACAGAAAGTGTTGGGACAAAATGATGAACAGTCTAATAAGGCATCAGAACATGGCTATATAGATGAGGTACGTAGCTCAGTCAAGCGCTTACACAGAATTGAACTAAATAGAGGCCTATCTATAGTTGAAGAACTTTTCTATGATGTTGACTAGTCTAATCATGATAGAAAGTCTATGGATTGATGTAGTCTAGTTGTAAAGTCAATGATACCTTGAGAAGTCTCCTGACAGAGTTAATCACTGAAGTCAGAGAAAGGAGGATTATGAGCTGGCACATGTCAAGATCACTCACCTCCCTTAAACCTCCTAGATGAAGGAATTGTACACTTTCACCAAAGAGGTTTCAAACAGCCCTTGTGGAAAATGTGACTACATGTAGAAACTGTAGTCTGAGCAATGACAAATATTTTCAAGATCAAATAGATTCTCATTATAAGAGTAAGATATAGGAATACAGAAAGGTATATTATTTAGTGTTAGATAGATGTAGCCCATAACTACACAGATGCCAAATATAAATATCAAGAGGCTGTGCTAGCTTTCAGAATTATCAGCAAATGGATAAGCGATATTGTTAATATATTTGTTATACTTTGATACCAACTTTTTATTGCCAGCTTTCTTGACCATTCTCTGAGAAACCTTATTGACCCTAGTTACAATTCACTTTAAGTTAGAATTGGCTACTATTTAATACTATATTAATAACCTCAAGTCACCAAAGCCTTTACGAGAAGTAAGACCTCTCCTACTCCTCTATACCTATAATGGCATAACGAATGATTAGAGATGTCCTGATGGAAGACTCACCTCTTCCAGTTATTTTTTGCCAACCCTTACTGTTTCTCCTAGGCAACTAAGTCTACTAGGAGGATGTCCTCACTATGCCCCCCTCATCTCTAGGAGTCTATTCCGCTTCACCGCCAGCTGTACCTTTATCAACCAACTCAGCTTCTACTACCTTAGTGTTGTAATTACTCAGACAACTAGACTAAATAGTTCAAGAAACCAAGAACGACAACATAGTGGCATGCTATACTCTGTTAGACCATGGATGAAAAATTGCTAATGGCCTGACCAAACTTCAAGGAAGGCTACAGGCTAACAAAATAGTAGTTGTGAGTACGATTATTACTTGACATAAACAAGGCCAGGAATTGCAGCCAAAAGTCTCTAGAAAATTCTATTATTACTGACAAGTTACTGAATAGGCACTTCTCCAGCATCAAGATCAATATTACTAACATAGAGAAGTAGTCTCACAGCTACAATACAATATTGGACAAAGAGTCAGTAGTGTAGAATCTGTTTGAAGAGATGAATACCTGTATTCTGCAATTCAGAAACTGGAATCTGAATTTCAGGCACAAGCCATTGTATATGGACAACAAAGGCTGTGCTAAGTATTTGCATAGCAAAGTTTTAAAAAGGCTTTTGAAGGAAGGCTAAGAGATCTACAATAAATAGTCTGCAAGTAAGGCAGTACAACAAGGAGAAAATGATAGGAAGAAAATCTATAAACAGATTGAAAGGGCTTTCAATGGAGTTGATAAAATGACAGAAGAAATTATTGCCTGTACGATCAAGAAAGCTATCAAAGCTACCTGTTTGGAATACAGAACTTCGATAGCTCCTCTTTGAAGACAAAGAAATAAACTACTGGCACAATCTGGTAGTTATAGTTCCGACTATTATTATGCTCTACCTCAACAGGAAGACAAAGAAAAAGGACCTGAAAAACCAGTAAGTGAACTTTGTCCAGCAGGATGTGGTGGAGGACCACCTAATGATGATCCTGTGTAATGATCCTACGTTATAGAGCTATGGCAACCTAAGTCTACGCCCATACATAAGACCAAGAGGTTACAAGGTAGACTACATGGGCATGTTGGCGCATGTCCGCGGGATATCTGATGGTTTGGATATCAGGAAGAACAGAAGGTACTTAAGGAATAGGTGTAGCTAAGTAGCGGAAGTAATATGACTATGTCTGCTCCTGCCCGACGATAGGTTGGAAGGCTGGGTGAGTTTACCCTGTCTAGGAGAGTCACGTTACCCTACCATGGAGATCAGATTCGTGTTACCATGGACATACTTACACTACCTTTGGGACACTATTACCCTACCCTTGATCAGAAATGTTCTCAGAGGAATTCGGGGAAATGTTAGGATTGCTTGTTATGTAATGATAATCGACAGGCACTTGTTTGCATCCTGATTGGAAGACTATAGAAGGAGCTATAGTGCTCCGAACATGCTGTAATTTGGCAGAATTATTCCTGACGTACCTGCGGCCCCAGGGTTCGCCCCGGGTGTCATGGGCTAAAATGAGTGGAGTTGCTGTCTTACTAGTTAAATGGAGTCAATGAAGACATATCCATAACACTATATACGTCACTGCAGTCCATCCGACCAGAAGCTATTTACAGGATATATAAGGGGGCCAAGGTGAGAAGGTCAGGTACGTTCTCCAAAGAGAATGGAGTAAAACTGACCAAAAACTGAGGGAGTTAGCATGAGCTATCTGGAAGGGTCCTCAGAGTAGTTCTGGGTAGTGTTGGAGACATCGGGGAAAGTTTTATGCCAATCATGTCTACATGTGCCCCTTTGCCATAGACTCTTTGTAGGTTATTTGAGGACTCTATTTGTATGATACTTAGCATGGTGGGTGGTGTGCCAGGGGTAAGAGACCATGGGTAGTGACCACAGGTCCTGCTGCCGCCACAGCTCTACACCGGAGTATTGTAGACCTTCTAAGTTAGTAATCAAGATAGATTGAACTTAACCAGAAGACAGCTGATGTCTATGGGTACTTGCATAAGTCATAGCACATGGGAAGAGGGTCATTTAATTAGCATTCCTAGGTGTCTTGACAGTTAGCCTCTGGCAAGACACAGATGAGCAGAGGTTTTCACCCCAGCAGGTGTATTAGTAAACACCATACTGGAACTGATGTGCATACAGGAGATTCCTGCTAGAGTACGCAGACACCTTAGGCCCTTCCAGGACATGGTAATAGTGGCAGGCAACCCTTACAGAGAAGGGCATACTCATGTTGGTTGGGGTAATCTGATGGGAGAGTTTTTAATATAAGTCTGACTACTTAATGATTATAAGAGAACTCTCCCACCCCAACACAATCAATATCCTCTTGAGAGACTTTAATTGAGATAAGTCTGAGCTTAATGATCTTAAGTTTTACCAGTTTATTTTTATTGTTTACACTTTGCAAAAGCTGTATTTAAGAGATTCGAAGTTTGGTAAGGTCGCATCCTTAGGAACCCTCTACCTGAGGGACCACCTGTTACAGTATATGGTTAAGCAAGGTTCTCGCTTTACTCTCCTCCTGATTTTATTTGATTGAACTGACGTTAACTCATCATGGCTGCTTTGGCAGTCATGATTGAAGAAGAAGCATCAAGTTCTGACAGCAGCTGTGGGCTTGATGACAACCCCTGGAAGGCTGCCCTGTTTAGGGCCTGAGTAATACCTGACACTCTAGGCATTGGTGGAGGAAGTACAAAAATGCTACTTTATGAAGTGCTGTTCGAAGTCGCTTCAGACTGTGAAAAATTGGTCCTCAAGGACCTAAGCCTGCTGGTACTTTCCTGCATGAACGACATCGCTTTCGCTCGAAGCATTTCAGATGGCCTAGCCACCTCCCTAGCAGAAGACCAGAACACTACTGATAAACCAAAGAAAGCCCCTACCATTTCGGTTGTGGATTTCGCCTATAATTATGTTGAACTATATCTCCTATCCAAGCTGATTTCCCTAGTCACCAACGCAACACAGGAACTGTTATATTGGAACAAAAAGACCCAGAAACAATTTGGAGGGTGAATGGTTGAAAATTTAGTAGGATGAAAGAAAAGACAGTAGGAGGCCCTTATGGCATTATTGAAAAATCAATATGCTATGAAGATTTGAATGGATGCATTGGAAAAGGCTTGGGAGGAGGAATACCAGATCAATGAAGACAATGATGTCTTAATGATAGAGGCGGCTCCCACACTAGCCCTAGTAACAGATAAGCCTGATAACCTTTCTCAGTAATTGACACTATATGCTAAAGATGAGAGATGGCGACCAGAACTAAGTCCATTAGGTCTACGGATCTTGGAAAGTCTGAAGACGATAGAAGACTGTGAAATACCATTATCATTCATACTAGCCACCTTGCGATCACTTTCTACTTTGGTGGCACAAAGCCACTCAGAAAGTCTAATTGTTGGAACGCAACAGAGAATATCCCTACAGTTACCACGCCAGATGGTCCACAGACCTATACAGTTCCCTTGTCCTTCTATTACGGTGACGCCAGTAGC